GCTTATTCACCCGCTTTGTCTTCAGCGGTTGTGTCGGGAAGGTGAGCATCATAGAATGCCAATTTAATAGAAGAAAGTATTCTTGCATTGAGGGAATACTTCACTGGAGGTCCAATGTCCTTCTGCTACCTTAATATTAAACCTATATATATATGTGCACATGTATCTATTTCCCCATCCTCATATGTAAATATATTTGCATATGTACCTGTCTTTATTTAGACCTCTATAAATGCCCAAGTACCATTTTCAGGTTTTAAAATGCTGTGAAACCTCCTATGACTTATCTTTATCTTTTATGTAATTTGAGCTTCCACTAGCGAGAAAAAAAAGATAAATAAGAACTTTCTCAATAGAAATGGTACTAGGGTATAGAAAAAGCTTTTAATTATTATAATAATATTTAGTTTCTTAACATCAGATTGTGTTGATGATTTGATTTATATAGATGGTACATAAAAGGGAAACAGCGTTTAAATGCATGAATGAAAGATAACTTTTGAATATGGCATTTATGACATAAGTATTTATATCTTTTCCCCTGTTTCAATTAGAGTGAGCATTTACTTATCATTGAACAGATTTTTTTTAAACAATGCATTTATGACTGAAAAATTTTCTATTTATGACAAAATTGGTTTGATTTTCAGTACTAGGAAAGCATTCTAACCTTTGCATATTATATTTGATTACCTAATTATTTCTTTAGAAAAATACTCATCATCAAAAAAATTCTTTTCATTTTGGGTTAAATCTTAACACAGCAAAAATTCACTATTTTGAAAGACTTAATATTCTAAGTCTTTGAATATTGCTCTGTATTCAAAGAATTGCTCTATAAAGTTGATATCAAATAATGATGACGAAAACGTATATTACAGACTTTCTGCTTGTGAAAAGAGATCTATTGTAAATTCCGTGTGCCGTATATACTTGTGTATAAGCCAAGTTTTCCAGCACATTTTTAATGTAGTTTTTGTGGTAAATTTAGGTGCATTAGCTGATATTGGGGTCGGCATATACTCAAGTATATATGGTATTTCTACTGTGATTTTAGCAGCAGCATAATTAAGCTTTGGATCCAATAGTGAATACCCAAAGAATTATAGCACTTAGGTTGGATATCTTCAGCACTAAAACCACACCCACTGTTGTCTAGTGGATTCCAACCCATAGCAACACTCTAGAATGGAGTAGAATTGCCCTGCTGGATTTCCAAGACGAATCTTTTCAGAAGTGGACTGCCACATCTTTCTCCCACAGAACCGTTGATGGGTACTAATTGCCATCTTTTGGTTTACAGATAAACACTTTTGCCACAGCACCACTTGGGCTCGTCATCACACACGCTCGCTGAAAAATTCCATTATCATTTAATTGCTTTTCCTTCACAGACTTTTTGAAGCCCTCATAAAAGCCCAATAAATACTAGTATACATACAAGTGATGGAAATACATCTTTATGAAGTTTTGCATTTGTAGTTTCTGGCCCTGTGCTGCCCTTGGACTAGCAACCTATCCTTTATTAGCCTTAGTTTCCTCATCTCGGTTATCTCAGTTTCTTGTAGATCAGTGGTTCTCAAACTTCCTAATGCCGCGGCCCTAATACAGTTCATGTTGTTGTGACCTGTTCCCCCCCCCTCCCCACACACACACCATAAAATTATTTTGGTTGAGAACCACTGTTGAAGAGGGAGATAGTATTAATTGCTGAAGTAGCTTATGCAAAACACTAAGCAGGTACAATAAAAGATGGTATTTACCAACTCACTCCCATTTGGGCTCTTCACATTAAGCACCCAAACCAGACACCTGTCATGAAGTAGATTCTGACCCAGAGATCCTATTTAGTTCTGGAAGTGTAGATCTTAACAGAAGCAGGCAATCTTGTATTTCTTCCAAGGAGTAGCTGGTGGATTTGAACACCGATCCTTCAGTCAGCAGCCCAGTGCTTATCCATCAGCGCCACCAGTGCTCATTTATCCTGAGTACGCAAACCAAACCAGACTCACTGCCTTCGAATCAATGCCAACTCTGGTGACCC